TCTGGCATCCCGCGAGGAATAACGCAGTGAAAGGTAGCAGGTCGGGAGCCAGTAATGAGCCTTCTGCAGGAGAAGGGGGAAGAGCACACGTGGCAAAGGCCGTTTTGGCACCGGACTGCGGGGAAGCGTTTCTGCCCGCCGGCTGGCTGCTTTTCGCCTGCTCCCTGGCCCTGCACCCCATGTACATGTCCAAGGCGCGCGGCGCATCCTCGCGTAGCAAGCGGGCCCTGGCCAGGGCTTCCTCGTCTGTCGACACCAGTTCGCAGAGTAACTTTGGGTCGCAGCCGAGGTGCTGCATGGGTTTGGAGACTGCCTCCCTCCTTGATGAGGCTGGACAGCTCTTCCTGCCTAGCCGTGGTGCTGCAGGTCCCCCCTGCATCCTGCAAGTGTGGAGGAAATGGGAGTAAAGCAAGAAGCAGGGATGCGAGGCGGGGTGCCACAATAAAGGCAAGTGGAGGATGCCAGGGCCTAAAAATGGAATTGAGGTAATAAACCACAAGGAGGAGATGGCAAGAAGAAGGGGAGATGTGCAAGATGAGGTGTGGAGGACTCTGACTAGCAGCAATTTCCGTCTAAAAGGATCTAGAAGTAGGAAGGGGAGGGAAGGGCTTTCCCTAGCTTCTTAGCTAAAGGATCTTAAGATGAGTGTAAGCAGCAAGCAGCACAACTCCCCTGGAAACACTAGTTTTCTAGAAGTAAGATTTATTCCCCAAATAGAAGCTGCTAGTATGTGAGGCAATCCAGCATGTTTTCCTCCCGCTGAATTTACTTGATCTATTTTCAGTGGGATAATCCCGATGACTCTTCATAACCAGATTGAAGAGACTTTCAGCTGGATGTGCTAATGCTCTGTAGTCTGTGATCTTTGGTACTTGCAAATTTTCGGAAATCCCTTTTGAAATGGTAAGTTCTGTAGCCTCTAGAGGGGTTGCAGAGCTGGAACGAGGTCGGCATTTGGAAAGAGGTTAATGTAGAGAATCAGGAAAAATGTGGTCGGAATTGTTCCCGTTTTTTTTCTGTTATGGTAGCTAACAGCACAAACTGCAATTTAACAACAACAGAAAGATGTTTTCGACAGCTCAATGTTAAGAAGAGGATAATGGAATATTTAAATAAAGTTTGCAAGGTGTGAATTTAGTGCTATAATGCCTGGTGCCTGTCTGTGTCTGGTTTGGACACTAGTCTTAAAACATTGTTTTTTTACCCTAGATGCCTGTCATTCAAATGTGTCAGAAACCCTATATAAATTATGAAAAATGTGGTATAGGTGTCCTAAATAAAAGCTTGCAGAATGGATTTAAGTCATTTTCTATACACTTGCTTATCTGTATACCGCATAGCTAACTTCACTCTGAAAATGTTCTGTCCATGTCGCAGTATAGAGAACAAGTATTCTGGATATGAATAGAGGCAGAAAATACACTGTTACGGAAAGAATTTGTGGAACTGAGCTTTACTTGACTTAAGAAAAAAAAAAAAGGACATTCATTTTTCAGGTTTGTCAGCTGCTAGGAGCAGGTTTTGTAGAATACGTGCAGCTACTCTCGGACTGGGAATATCTTCTTTTTCCTCAGACTTTTTAGTTGATTGTGTGGTAGTTATGTGTTGTCGAGCCTAACAATGAAATGATAGAGTGGCCTCATGGCTCATTGAGTTGTCTGACTCCTGGACCAAGTGGTATATGCAGTGCCAGCAAAAGCTGCTATAATGAGGATGGAGTTTCATGGTTAATCACCCAAATGACTAGTCAGGGTATGTTACCTGGTGTGTCCTCATCTTGTCGGGGTAAGTATGTGCCCTCCCTATATGAGGGGAAAGAGAGAGTGGTGCTTCTCTTGCTGTACCTTACACACTTCAATGTTAGCCTGTTTTTAACAGTGTAACTAGCTAGTACCTGGAAAAGGTCTGCACATCTCTTTCTCATTTCTGGCTTACTGATTTACACGCAACTGCATTAAAAACTGTTGCAAATGGAGCTGCCTTAGTGTGGAGGAGGAAAGCAGCGGGTTACCTGCAGTTCTGCAGTACTGGTGCCGTGGTGGCCAGCGTGGTCCCAGGTGCAGGGGCCGCTCCCGGGGCTGCTGCGCAGGGCGCGATGGTTCCTGCTCGCAGCGCGGCGCCGATCTGGGGCAGCAGCGCGCCACGAGCAGGCCGTTTCCTCTGATCCAAAGAGCAGTGAAGGAGGGAGCCTCTGTGCCGGTTTTGGGTGTCCTGACGCTGCCCGAGCTTCAAGACGCTTGAGCCAGGTAGGGCAGCAAATGCCCAAACTGCTGCACTGAGCCTGCCTGAGAAGCGCTGGCCGGGCGAGAGCGCTCTGCAGCCCGGGGTTCTGCCAGCGGGACAGGCCGCGTCGGCCCCTGCCTCTTCCCAGTTGTTGTGTCGTGTTCCCTCCTATGGTCAGAGCAGAGGTTTCCGAAGCTCATGTGGGAGGACACTGAGCGCTGAAGCAGTTGGCAGAGCAAAGCCAGGGGATGCCCCCCTGTTCCCTGCTTGGGGACCGGGCTCCGGTGTCCCCCCACCCACCTCACCCCTGCGCTGGCACAGAGGGGATGCGGATAACATCTAGCTGCAGTCTCTGGCAAACGTGATGATGTGACCTTTAATGGTTTATTTACCTCAAGGACTGCTGCAAACTGACTCTATACCCGAGGTTGGAGAGGATGCTGCTGCTACAGTCGGTATGTCAGAAGTGCTGTCAGAAGAAGAACAGGACGAACTAAGAAAAGAACTTGCTAAGGTAAATCTGCTAGTGTCTTGGAAAGAATTGTCAGGCTGGCCTAGAGAAGGGAAATCTGGGGTAATGCTGTTATTGCGGTGACTGAACACGGCGTTAATGCTTTGCATGTTCAGCTGGTGCCTGCTGGAAGCTGCGTGCAGGACTTCGGTGCATGGGAGGAGGGAAGTGAAAGGTGCCATGGAGAAGAGCACGTCCCGTTCTTCCTGTGGGAACTGAGCTACAAGTACTGAGCACGCAGGGCTCGAACCAAAGCGTATAAATGTCCAGCCCTGTTCTCTCTCAAGTGAGAAAAGGGTAAATAAGCTGTCAAAGAGCACGAAGATAGAAGCTGAAACCAAGAATTGTCTCAACTGGGGTGGAGTGACTGGACCTGTCCTTTGCATGGACAGTTTGCAATAATATGTGTGCACTGCCTTGCTGATGACTAACCCTGTAACCATTCTTATCTATAATTCATAGTAGCAGAAAAAATATTTAAGATCAAGTTAAAGCAACATTCTTCAAAGGAGGGCTAAATGTTTGAACGGGGTGCATGCGTTTCAAAGCTGATAAACTTGAGCTGCATAGAGTGGGCTGGCTTTTCTCCTTTGTAACTCCATGTGACTTTAGGGATCCTTTTGTGGTCCCTAAAGGATGCATAAGACAGAATTTATGCCTCAGATTAGTGTACCAGATTTAGACATGAAATGCCAACGTAACTATTTAATGCAGTATTGGTTTTAGTCCCAAGGATTATTCCATGCCAAACCAATCAGTTGAGGATTGCGGGAGAAGTCTGATCCTGCCACAGTTCATCGTGCTGGACAGAAGTCCTGAGAGAGAAGGTGCGCTGAAGATGATGTTTCTGCAAATAAATTTAAATGAATGGCCAGCCTTCCATCTTAAAAATGGTGGTCCAGTCTGGATGAGGAAGTGGGGTTGGATGGATGTCTGGTCTAGAGAGCTATCTTGTCTCTTAACTCTCCTGGTTTTTAGAGTTACCAAATTCCTTTTCCATATTACAGTAACAGGAACAGCTGTAAGGATATTTCTACGTGACCAACTGGCTCTGGTTGTAAAGTACATTGTAAAGTACATTGGATTTCCTTTTCAGAAATTTGAAGCAACTGAAACATCATTAGAAACACGTCAACTTCTTCATGACCCATGCTTAGCAGATGGTTTTATAAACCTGTAGCTAAATGGCCGCTTAGATCAATTGTTATCTTCTATCCTCAACTCTGCTGCCACAGGTAGAGGAAGAGATCCAGACGCTTTCACAAGTACTAGCTGCCAAAGAGAAGCATCTAGCAGAAATCAAGAGGAAGCTGGGAATTAACTCCTTGCAGGAATTAAAGCAGAACATCACCAAAAGCTGGCAAGATGTCACGTCAACGACGGCGTATGTATAAGTTCATGGTAGTCTGTGTCAGCTGCTGGGGTGAAAATGGTGTAGCTCTTATTTTGTGTCTAAACTTGCTGTTCTTGTGGGACTGGATGATGCTAAATAGATAGTAGAAAGTTAAACTCCACTAAAAAATACCTGGTTAAATCATTGTAAGCTTCCTCCGAGTCATCTCTTGGAAAATAAGAATGAGCCACTATAATATGGGAGATGCTAACACACTTCTTGCCAGGCAGAACAGAGTATTACTCTGCTGGTGCCCAAAGTCCCCTCAATATATATCTTTGGGTTTGACAAAAATTTAACTACACTAAAAGGTTCCTTATGTATTCTATTAAGATAACTGCAGACCTAATTTTGTTTGAATACAGCTACAAGAAGACCTCAGAAACCCTGTCTCAGGCTGGTCAGAAGGCCTCTGCTGCTTTTTCATCCGTTGGCTCAGTCATAACCAAGAAGTTTGAAGATGTGAGGTAGGTTTCTTTTACTTTCCCCAAGCAGTTGCATTTTTGATTTACACAGCCGATCACTGAAATAAGTCCATGCTTTTAACATACCTGCCTTTTTCCAAGCTAATATGTCAAGAACCCTCAGCATCTGTTTTAGGAGTGCTTAATGACTCGCAGCCAAATACACTGGTGTGTCCTCACTGTGCAGAAACGTTGAGTGTGTGTGTTTTAAATGTGGAAAAAGAAACAACTGTGCCATTTCCTCCACTGCTCTTCTGCTTGGTCTTTCGGTAGCGTTGCAGGCATTGGTGCCTTTGCCTGTCCTTGCACATAGCATCGTCATTCCTCTTCTCTGGCTTTCTCAGTCTGTGGAATGCTACCCTTGAACTGTTTTCTGGTGTGTCTTGTATGACATTTGCATTCCTTAAGTCATGTTTGTTTATTTTTTTTTATGCTGTTCTACCTCCTAGAAATGGCTGGATTTTATTACTTTTTGTGTTTGTTAATTCTAAGCTAATCTGGCCTTCTGTGTCACATAACACAGCCTTTCATGCAAAGCAGGACAAGTTGGTGGTTATTTTTAGCAGTATGTTATGAGCTTCATGAAATATCTTCCTGAATGTAATTCAGTCATACGCTTAATTTCCCCTTTTTACTTCATTATAAGTCTTCATATACTTCATATATACGTCTTGCTTCATATATAAGTCTTGCTTTTGGAATGTATAGAACTGCTTATCTCTGGTTGTAATGTACCATGAAGAGTACCTCAAATTTATTTTCTCAATTATTGAACAAATCAGAATCATGTTATAAGCAAATATTGTTGCAATGGAAAACAATGTAATAAAATCAGCCCTCTGCTTTGAAGTGCTGCCATTAACCTCTTTTTTGCTTTTCTAAGTCTAACTGGGGAAAAAAAAACACTGAGGTGCAGCTACACAGTTAAATACTTTGCTTCAGATTTATCAGAACTTCCTTTCTCTCCCTAATGCTTACTTTGGCATTGTGCAGACTGCAAGCATTTTCACATTCCTTTAGGTAAGGTGGGCACAAGAACTGTTGCTACTGAAATGAAGCATGTAGACAGACTGTCTCCATTAAAATCTTTTGTCTGTAAAAGTGACTTTCTCCTCCAGTGTTAGGAAATGCAAAACTGTAGTTCTTGTCATGTCACGGAAGATAACTGTTCACGTTCACTTAGTGAGTGTCCCAGAGCCGGAGGCTGCGAGGATACGTAACCAATGTCACGTGCTTTCGCCCTCTCTCCCATGCGTGTGTCCTCTCGCTCCTCCTTACACGCTCACCTTGTGGGTCACCTGCTCTTTCTCTCCATCTCTGTGTGTTTTTTTTCCCCCTTTTTCCTTTTTCTTCTCTTCCCCCCTTCCCTTCCCTCATAAGAAAGGAAGCTGTTAAAATGGTAGAGACAGGACACAGTTTGGAGGTCAATGGCGTGCAGAATTCCCTCCTTTCTTTGTTTGCACGGTGTTTGTGCCCTGATAGGATAGCAGTTTCCCCTCCCGGTATCTACTGCAGCATTGTTTAGCATGGTGACTAATAGTCTAGTAGAGTCTAAATGCAAAATAGTTTATGCATTCTCTGTTCGTAGTTTGTCCTCTGAAATTGTCCTTACCCTTGAACAATTCCTTTAGCAGCTCCAGATGCTGAACAGTTCAGTTACCTCGTCTGGCCTGCCTTTTTTCTACTTACTTTAAGCAGATATTCAGTGTAAAGATTTCAGTAGTTAAATGTAACAATGCATAAGCTTATGGTATTAAGGCTGAAAGTTGAAAGCTGATGCTTGTAAAGAAGTAGTAATAACTTGCACTTAAAGGATGATACGCTTATCTAAATGCACGCGTGTGTAAAGGGAGGCTGCATAGGACGTATGATCTGAATTGTGACAGATGTTACAAGAAGTACCAAATAACTCCTAAAGTTGCTGTGGGAGTCGACATGCATGAGAAGAGCTGCGTGCAATAAGGAGTGCTCCACCTCTAATACCTTCTCCTGCCTGGGTGCTACTGTGGTAACTCAGTCTCAACCCCTTCCATGTGGCCAGAGTGAGGCTGTCTCTGAGCTGGATTTCTTCTCGCTGTTTGCTCAGAGCTAAGTAGGAAGAAAGATGATGGGATCATAAAACAGCTAAGGTTGGAATGATCCTCCAGAGGCCACCGAGTTCAGCCTGCTGCTCACTGACTAGAGGAGGTTGCTCGGGAGCTTGTCCGTGTAAATTAGAAGTCTCCTCAACGGTGGCTACTCTATAACCTATTCTGTGCAGCAAATGCCATATGCAGGTCTCTGTGCCCTGTGAAGTGATTTTGGAAGCAGTTGTAGAAGGGAAAAAGGCTGCTAGTGGATCTGAAATTAAAAGTAATCAGAAAGACAAGAAGACTTGTAGTGCAAAGTCAACACATTATTGAATTTTTTTGTGCATGCTTCCTCTGTTTCCTCTTTGTTATGCTGAAAATTAACTCTGTCCCCTTATTAGGTTTCCCTTGATACTTTTATTCCCCTTTGGCCGCATGAATGTGCTGATTAGCTGCCATCTTTCTGTACCGATGTGGGAAATTGCTGAGCTGCATGCTGGTACTCTGCTAACTTCTGAGCACGCAGTGCAGGAGAAGTTACGGAGCTGAAGTCTTCATCCTTGTCCTGTCCGGAACTTGTAGAATAACTTCCTTTGTTTCTTTGGAAACTTGATGTGATCATTAACTCCTAAATGTCATCATTTATCAACTGGAAGCCTAACTATTAACTAACACCACCAACTAACTAATGCTCATGGGTTTATGCACAGGGTCTGTGGCATGTTTTAACTGTCCAGGTTCAAAATGTGAATCAATGTAGTAACTATAAAACCCTCTATAAAACTCTATGTGTGACTCTTTAATGCAATATCGAAAGCTGGAGAGCAACTTTCTGTGGCTCTCTGATTTTATTCATTTTAACCTGGGGGGTTGCTCGTGATTGTTGTAAAATGGTCTTCTAGTCTTCAAACTGCCCAGCTTTATGACCTAGTTCAGTGAGTGCCTTAATGTAGCACCCCAAAATTTGGGAGAATAATTGGAGTTCACTTCTTTGGAAAGTTTTGCAAAATTTAATCCTGCTTTTTGTGCGCTACTTGAGAATGGGTGATGATGGGGGGAACCAGTTGCAGCGCACCTACCTAGTGCAGTTCTCTTGCCATGCAGGCCTGTCAGTGCTGAAAATCCATGTTCTCTTATGGTGAGACTTTGCAAAACAGATTCTGAGTATACGTAGGCTCTACAGCAGTGAGCTACCTCTTCCAAATGTACAAGCTTTTATTACATGATCTGTGTGGGACTGAATTCAGTGTCTTTAGACAGCTGCTGGAGTGAGCTCTGCAGTATGCCAGAGTAGCTGCTTTCTGTGCGAGCAGGTTCGCTGACTGTGAGGTAGAGGACAAAGCAGGGATCCTTCTCCCTCTTTAATCTTAAACATCAGCAGCACTTCAAGTGGCTGAGCGTGGCTGGACAATGAGAGTTGTTCAGTATCAGCCTAGCCCTGCGTTAGAAGTTGCCCCGTAGCAAAATCAGAATTTCTAGTAATCCACAGTGCACAAGAGGGAGTATAAATGACACCCCAGGAGGCAGTCATCCTCGATTTGCTTTGGAAAACAGCATGGGAGCCAAATGACCCGGGAAAATGAAAAGCAGCAGGA